TCTCCTTCACCCCAAACCATCTGCAGCTAGCTGTAGCTAGCTACGGCTAGCTACAGTCAGCTACACCCAGCTACAGCTAGCGTATGTATTAACTACCCCCAATGGACGGCCCCCTAAAGGGGGAGAGAGCTGCCTATACACCTGAAAGCTGAGCCTCTCTGAGGAGACACTGCAACGATCTGCTGCTGCTGCTGCTGCTGCTGCTGCTGCTGCTGCTGTTCTCGCTGCTGCTGTTGCTGCTGCTGTTGCTGCTGCTGCTGCTGCTGCTGTCTCGGCAGCAGCAGCGGCGTGCTTCGAGTGGCTGTGGCTGGGTTTGGGTGTATTTGTTTATGTTATTTTATTTGTGTATAATAAATTAATTAATATAAATTAATATATTTTATTTAATATAAATAAAAATAAATAAACAAAAAGAGACAGAAAAAGGCTCACCTGGGCCCCTGCTGCTGCTGCTGCTGCTGCAGGTAGCCGTTGGTCTGTCGGTGGTGTCCAGCGGCCTGCTGCTGCTGCTGCTGCTGCTGCTGCTGCTGCTGCTGCTGCTGCTGTTGCTGCTGCTGCGGCAGCAGCAGCAGCAGCTGTTTGTTGGGTATTGATGTGTATTATATTAATTAATATACTATAGAGGTTGTTTGTTTTCTTCTTTATCTTCTTCTTCCTTCTCTCGCTGCATCTCTGCTGCTGCTGCTGCTGCTGCTGCTGCTGCTGCTGCTGCTGCTGCAGGAGAGACACCAGGTGGTCATCGTCGGCAGCGCAGAGTGTCTCCGTTTGAGCCCTTTGTTTTTATTTTTTTCTTTTTCTTTTTCTTGTTTTCTTTATCCTTCTTCTGCAGCAGCAACAACAACAACTGCAACTGCAGCAGCAGCAGCAGCAGCAGCAGCAGCACGAACAGCAGCAGCAGCAGCAGCAGCAGCAGCGAGAAAGGAGACAGTCTCCAGTCTCCTGAGGATGAGGGTCCTCTCCCTCTTCTTTGCTGCTGCTGTCTCCTGCTGGGGGGCCCCTGCAGCAGCAATCCGTCTGTCTCCTTCTTTGTCTCTGCTGCTGCATGGGGGCCCCCTAGACCCTGCTGCGCTGCTGCAAGGGGACAGCAGCAGCAGCAGCAGCAGCAGCAGCAGCAGGCTGCCGTTTAGTCTGATGCAGCAGCAAGAAGGAGACAGTTTAGAGGGGGAGACAGAAACAGAGACAGAAGCAGAGACAGACACAGAGACAGAGGCCCCGCTGCAGCAGGCCCAGTCTCCTGCTGCTGCTGCAGCAACAGCAGCAGCAGCAGCAGCAGCAGAAGAGGAGACACCACATACAGAGAGTGGAGACACAGGAGAAGAGACAGAAACAGAAGCCTCCGATACCCCCTCAGCTGCAGCAGCAGACGAGGAGACAGCAGCAACAGCAGCACCAGCAGCAACTGCAGCAACTGCAGCAGCAACAGCAGCAGCAGCAGAAGAAGCAGCAGAGACAGGGGGAGAAGCTACAGAAGAGACACAAGAAGCTGAGGATACACCCCAGCAAGAAGGAGAGGAGACAGCAGAAGAGGAGACTGGCTCTCCCGCAGAGGGGGGCCCCCAGGGGCCCCCAGGGTCTGAGCCCCCCATAGAGGCAGCAGCAGAGGGGGCCCCCAGCTCTAAACAGCTGCGAACTGCTGCTGCTGCAGACACAGCAGCAGCAGCAGCAGCAGCAGCAGCAGAACCCTCTGAAAACAAAGAGGAGACAGCAGCAGCAGCAGCAGCAGCCCAACCTGCTGCTGAAGCAGCAGCAGCACAGCAGCTGCAGCAGCAAACACCCAGCGTACAGGGGCCCCCCTCCCCCCCTCAGCATGAGGCTTCTATAGGGGCCCACACAGTAGGGGGCCCCCCGGCCGCTGCAGGAGTCCCTTCGGAAGTATCTGGGGGCCCCCAGGGGCCCCCCCAGGGGGCCCCCCAGGGGGGCCCCCCTGAAGGATCTATGGGGGCCCCCTCTGAAGCCTCTATGGGCCCCCCCGGGGCCCCGTCTGAGAGCGCTGGGGGCCCCCCTGCTGTCCCCTCTGAAGAGTCAGTGGCCCCCCCCCCTGGGGGCCCCCCCCATGGGGGCCCCCAGGGGGGCCCCTCTGGGGGCCCCGGTGAGGGGGGCCCCCCTGGGGGCCCCGGTGAGGGTGTGAGCCTGTGGACGCGGCGGTTTTTGTCGCGCGGGGGCCGGGCGCTGGGGGTGCTGGCGCATGCAAATTTGATGGATATATTCAGCAGCAGGTCAGCAGCAATAAGAAGCAGCAGAAGTTTAATAAAAGGCTTCACTAACAAATTCAGAACACTGAGGAGACAGATGAAAGAAGCTAGTGAACTGCAGCAGCAGCAGCAGCAGCTGCAGCAGCAGCAGCTGCAGCAGCAGGGACAGGGACAGGGAGAGCAGCAGCAAGGAGAGGGAGAGGAATTGCAGCAGAAAATGCAGCAGGGGGAGGAACAAGAGGAGATGAAACAGCAGCAACAGCAGCAGCAGCAGCAGCAGCAGGAAAAGGAACAGCAGCAGCAGCAGCAGCAGCAGGCACAATCCCCAGCAGCAGCAAAGACAGCTTAGCAGCAAACACTAAAACTATTATAACTGCAAAACATATTCTAACGGCAGCAGCAGCAGCAGCAGCAGCAACTGCAGCAGCAGCAGTAGCAACTGCAGCAGCAACAGCAGCAACTGCAGCAGAGACTGCAGCAACTGCAGCAGCAGCAGCAGCAGCAGCAGCTGCGGAGACAAGACAGCAGCAGCAGCAATGTTTTAGCTATTGAGGGCACGAAGGCAAAGCCCTAATATAAAGAGAAATCAGCGGGGCTGGGATCGTCTCCAGAGGAGACGATCCCAGC